CAGGGTCTAGGTATGTGTGTTTAATCAAAGCCTCTCTCAGCTTTTCCAGAAAAGCTGAGGGATTCTTATTGACACCTTGATCTATCATGGCTAACTTGGAATAATTGAGAGGTTTAGTTCCAGTTTTTCTCAAGCCTTCCAATACGCAAACCAGGAAATGTTTCCTCCTCCATTTTCCCAAGTTGCTATCGGAGTCTCATTTAGGGTCTTCCAATGGTACTGCAGACATAACTATTGGATAGGGCTCCTCCCCTTCTCTAGCACTATATGAAATGCAAAGCTCATCCCCAAACTTTTCTGCCACTTGCAGAACTGCTTGTTTCTCAGTGGTCATTAGGGTCTGGCTAAGAGCAACATAGCATCCTTCCAGGGGAGCTCAAATATTTGTGTTAAATTCTGGAAAGCATCTATATACTTGTCAGGGTTATCTGAAAACCTTCCAAGATCTTCCTTGATTTGTTTCAAGTCTCACAGGGAAAAGGGTTCCTATACCTTACTAGGGCTATATTCGCCAAGCATCTTTTGTAAGGGCATCAGTAATGCTAGAGTTCTAGAATGAGGAGTTTTTAGAGTTGGAATGGTTTTAGGTACAAGGAGGACCTGAATAAGGAGGGCAAGACAGACCAGGTGGAGTGACCTCGTGAGATGATTCCTTCCCCAGTGGCGCCTTTGGGGTTGGCATCCCCGGTCCATTGGGACCATTCATTGAGATGACTGCTAGGAGGGCTGAATTGATTCGACAGCATTGACAAAGGTCAAGATTTTCTCGAAGAAAGCCTGTACATATGGGACCCCGGACCATATGCCCTGGCATCTACAGAAACTGTCTAGGTGCGTGATTGTATTATAATTGACATTTCCCTCTAGAAGCCAGGTTTCTCCATCCTGCAATCTATAATTCAGCCACGCTTGGGGGCAAAGGAATTTAAGACGCTGTTTTAAAGTCTGAGGACCAAAGGAGCCCCATGTCCCAGGATGTACTCTTAAGTGCACACTACAGATAGCCTGATGGCCTGTTACCCATCTGAAGGAGAAAGAGGTGAAAGAAAGGCATCCCTAAGCTTTCCCTCCTCCAACCATGAATAAGGATTACTTTTCTATCCTTCTCTGCTCATGGCGTCCCCTTGGATGGGAGCATGATTTCCACCCAAGTATAATGGTAGGGACCCAGTCAGTAGGAATAGTCATGCTCACCTACGCATTAATACCCATCCTATGTGCTGTCGACTATGCCTCTGGATTCCTCAAACCTAGCCTTCTCCCTTACCAGACTAGATCTTCAAAAAGGCCTTGGAATGATTGGGTTTAGGGGCAGGAATCTGACAAGGGTGGTGGGGTGGGGGGGAGTTCCTGGGACTTTCTGTGAACTTCTGACCTGTAGATCATGGTTTGAGCCCGGTTACAACATTCAGATTACTTTCCTAACAAGGCCCACAAATATGGAGACATACAAGTGCCGGTGCAGGACCTTTCGAGACAGTCCCTGACATCTTCCAAAAAGCCTAATCCCACAGTCAGCCAGTATGCATACCCAGTGCGCAAAGCCTCTAAGTTCTTAGGCACAGAGCTGACAAAGTGTCCTCAGAGGGGAGAGTTCGCATTCATTTGACATTTGCCTATATCCATAGAGTCCCCACATGTAGGAACCTAATTCCTCATATAAAGCAGTTTCTCATTCTTGCCAATTACAATGCTTCCTAACATGCAAAAACGAAACCAAAGTGTTCTCCTTTTTGCCTTGTGGACCAGTGAACACACCTTGTCTTGAGCTCTTATTCAGTAAGGATCAACCCAGTTGCCAACTGTCTAGTAATGCCAGCTCTTTAAGCTACAAAAACACCCATGTCACCAAGCACCGAGTGGGGACAGTACCCGTGGCAATCCTGAAGAGAAGAAAATGTGATGGGAAAGGCTGAAAAAAGTATGATAGAGACTGGAAGCCTTCTGCCAACATCCTGTCGGGCTGTCGGGAATTGAAGTCAGCTGGAAGTCTTCAGGTAACACCAAGATGTAGCCTTGGCCCAAGCTTCTTCTGATTGCCCCCAAGCTTCTTCTGATTCCATGCGACGGCTAACTCTGAAAAGAAACTGGATCAGAACAGGACCAACATTCCCAACACCAGAGAGTAATGGGGGATTAACCAAGTTCTCTCCAGCAAATCTAACCTCTGTATTGTGGATCGGCAGCCACGCTATTTGCTTTTAACTGGCTGGCAGAGACCTGGAAATTTGTTCTTTAGAGAGAGAGTAAAAAAAAACTTGAGGACAAAGATCCTCGGAAATGAAAGTAAAGAGATAGGTCCTCTTTAACTCACCCTTCCATCGAGTCCCATGTTCAGGCACCAAAACTGATACGGATTTTTTAGGTCAGCCTGGGCTTTGAGAGTGTCAGCTCAATGGGTCGGCCAGCCAAGACCCAGAGAGGGTCGTCTTGAGTCGCTGGTAAGCCTAGCCCCAGAAGTGTTGGCTCTGAAGGGCTGGCAAGCCAGGCCCTGAGAGTGTTGCTGGTTCAGTGGGCTGGCAAGCCTAGCTCCCAGAGTGTCTCAGCTTTGGAGTCTTGCCTTCTTCTAGTAGCTCTCCTGGTTCAACTGGCTCTGGCAGCTAACAAGCCAGCCTCTGGGTGCATGGCTCTTCAGCTCCGACGATCTTCTGCAGCTCTTCAGATCGTAGCTCTTCAGGGTCGAGGTTCTTGTCTCATGCCCAGGAAGAATGAGGGACATGGAAAGCCAGAAAGTGAGAAAGCAGGATTTATTGAGAGGACAGAAAAGCTCCCATAGTACAAAGGGACCCGAAGGAGTTGCCAATTTGGAGCTGAAACCTGGTGCTTATATAGCCCTAAGTCCAAGCCAGTTGGCTAGCACTAGCTGTCAGCTGACTGGTCACTACTAAGGACCAATCATCAGGAGGTAGGGGTCTACTGGTGAGCTGATTGGTTGCTCTTCGATCCCAGCAGTGAGTACTTAAGTTTGTTTACCAATGCTGAGCCTGAGAAGCCAGCTGAGAGTTTGCCACATTGTTGCCACAGGACCCGCCTGTCTGTCTGTCTAGCCTTTCTCTGGCTATCTCCTGTCTCTATTTGATAATTGTACTATGTATACCTACAGTGAAACATCACTTAGCACCCCAGCAATATATACAATTATTCTGTGTCAATTATAAATTTTTTAAAAATTGATAAAAAAAATTATGTCCTGTGACTAGCTAGTAAGCACAGAACTATCCCATTAAAAATGTCAGGTTTTCAGAACTCAGTCCTTTCACATGGAACTGTTTTTCTCTCTGCTGTTCAAATCAATGTAACGGCTTAGAGTTCTACAACTCACAGAATTGTCTAGCATCCCTGTCCCACCTCTTCTGTCTCCTCAGCCTGGCATTCAGGGCTTCCTCTGTATCCAAGAGCCCTCATGGAGATCCATTTTGGCTTGGCTTAGAGCTGCTGGGCTGCTTGTGAGGCTGCCCTCTCCTGACTATGCCCAGGGCCTTAAATGCTTCCTCTCTCAAAGTCATTCTTGATCTTCCCCCACCCCACAGCTGGTTTTCATAGTCCTGAAATGTTCTTCCACTCAACTGGAGGTTCCCCATTGGTGAGGGGCAACCTATATCCAGAGTAGTTTTGTTTGCCCAGAATAGTGTTTTATTTTGTTTTTTAATTTTTAATTTTGAAGATGTGGGGTACAGTTCAGGGTTAGGTATACAAATGGTCAATATGCAGGTACCCTTGTTGATGAGGCGTGCTCCGCCGACCTCCTGCAGATTCCTACTACTGCCAATCCTTTTCTTATAGTATTATGATAATTGTTCAAGGTCTGCTTATAAGTGAGAACATGTGGTACTTAGTTCTTTGTTTCTGTGATAGATTGCTCAGTATTATAAACTCTAAGTCCATCTAAGTTGCTGCAAATTTCATAATTTTGTCCTTCTTTATGACTGTGTAATATTCCATTGTGTATATGTACCACATTTTTTTTTATCCAGTCCTCTTTCAGTGGGCAGCATGGTTGGTTCCATGTTTTTGCTATTGTAAATAATACTGCAATAAACATAATGTGCAAGTATCTTCTTCATAAAGTGATTAAGTTCCTCCAGGTATATTCCCAGCAGGGGGATTGCAGGGTCATATGGAAGGTTGACTTTTAGATCTTTTAGGAATTGTCAAACTGTTTTCCACAGAGTTTGTACTAGTTTATACTCCCACCAACAGTGTAGAAGTGGTCCCTTTTCCCCACATCCTTTCCAGCATCTGTTGCTTTTGAGTTATTGATAATGACCATCCTGACTGGACTTAGGTGGTATCTCAGTGTGGTTTTAACTTGCATTTTTTTGATGACTACTGAAGCTGAGCATTTTTTCATGTATCTGTTGGCTACTTATATCTTCTTTTGAGAAGTATCTATTCATATCTTTTGCCTACTTTATAATAGAGCTGTTTGTTTTTTTCTTTTTGGCATGTTTGAGTTCCTTGTAGATCTTAGATGTTAGGCCTTTGTCAGATATACAGTTGGCAAATATTTTTTCCTAGACTTTGGGCTGTCTCCCCACTCTTGATGATTTCTTTGGTTTTGCAGAAGCTTGTCAGTTTGATGAGGGTCCCACTAGTCTATTTTACTTCTTATGGCATGAGCACTAAATGGATCAAAGACCTAAACATAAAACCTCAAACTGTAAGAACCTTAGAAAATGCAGAATAGTGTTTTTAATGCCTTTAAGACTTTGCTGATATATCTGTTTTCTTAAACTTGCTTTAATCATCTATTTATAGTGAACTTTCTGTAGACTTTTGGCTTTGTAACCACTGTTCTAAATTAATAATATTTTCCTGTATTATGTCACAATTGAAAAGTAGGAAATTCTTAATTATATCCTTGTTTTTTTTGGAGACTTTTGACCAGTTGCTAATTATTTGTCTAAGAATATCTGGTTATGGAATCAAGACCTAATTTTGAGGCCCTTTGATAATAGATGTCCTATCTACTTACTGTCAAATCACTTTGTTCCCTCTAGGTCTTGGTGATAATATCAGAATGTTTCTATGCGCCACTTCCAAGACATTTATCTGATCGTTCTGGTAAGTATGATAAGCTCCTGTGATGTAGAGGATTTTTGGGATTCCGTGATGTGTTCTTTCGTGTTCTTATAGGTAGTGAATTTTCCCTCTGATTTGCTAGATGACCAAACCATCACCACCACCAGATTTTTTTTTCTTTTCTTTTTCCTTTCTTTTCTTTTTTTGAATCAGCATCTCACTCTGTTTCCTAGGCAGAGTGCAGTGGCACAGTCACCTCTCACTACAGCCTTGGCTCCTGGGCTTAGGTGATCCCTCCACCTTAGCCTCCTAAGTAACTTTCTTCTGAGTAGCTAGGACTATGAGTACATGCCATCATGCCAGGATACTTTTTTTCTTTTTTCTTTAAGAGAGATGATGTCTCAGTATGTTACCCTGGCTGCCACCACCAGATTTTTAAAAATATGTTATTTAGACAGATTTGAACAAAAATTATTTTTCCCTCTCATAAAATAGAGATTATTTCATTTTGGCACTTTATTTTCTTCTTCAAGAATGTGTCCTTCATTGATCAGACATCTTTTCCTTTCTTTGAACTGGAATTAGAAGGGAGGGAAGGGCCCTCACATTCATTGCCCTCTCTACTGTGTGCTCATGACTCTCCAAAGTCCTTTAAAGGCAGTCTCCCCAGATCTTCATACTGCTCCACACTGCTTCTGGGACCAGGGAGTCCTGGATTTGCATTTCTTTATTTCTGACTATTTTTGAGACTGCATAAAGACTATTATGAGACTTTATAATTGTTGAGTTTTATGTGGGTGTTTAAATAAGCTCATATTTCCTTTATAATTCTTGAAGTTTTTGAGTATTTGAGTCTCTCATAGATAATTAGAAGATGTATTATGGTTCTTAGCATTCTTAAATGTAACAAAAACCCAATATAAAGCATCTTGGGGGAAAAAATGAAAATTTATTAGTTCACTAACTGAAAAGCCCTGGGATGCTCTAACTTCAAGCATAGCCTAAGTGATGCTGGGTTTCTGTCTCTATGCAGCTCATTCAGTGGCTTTTGACAGTCCTAACTCACATTGCCTTTATTTAACAATCCCTGAAGAAAGGGGCTTCACCCCCTGACACGGGCCACAAACCCCTGGGAAGTATTAGCTAAGATTTTGGAACCAGTCACCATGACCAATAGGGTGCCAGAGCCTTCTACAAGGTACAGAAGACAGAGCATGAGGAACCTTGATCTTACTGTCTGCATGCACTGCTGAAGTCAGCATGGTCAGAGAAATCTCCAGAGGGGGATAGAAAAGCCCTGGGTGGGGCCAAAATGCCAGTCAGAGAATCTGTCCTGTGCGACCATAGATTCAAGATAGAAAATACTGTCACTTTTGCATATTTTCATTTCATAGCTAAACACACTCAATTGATTACTGAATTGCCATTATTTCAGGAGATGTTCCCATGTCTTTCCTCCACAGAGCAGAAACTGAGATCAGAGGAGGCTCATAGGGCTGAGCAATTGCAGGATGCAGAGGAGGAAAAAGATGATTCAAATGAAGAAGAAAACAAGGACAGCCTCGTAGATGATGAAGAAGAGAAAGAAGACCTTGGGGATGAGGATGAAGTGGAGGAAGAAGAGGAGGAAGACAACCTGGTTGCTGGCGTGGATGAGGAGAGGAGTGAGGTCAATGACCAGGGACCCCCGAGAGAGGACAGTGCAGTCCATGAGGAAGTAGAACCTGAGGAGACTGAAGAAGACACCTCTGAGCAGCCCTGTTCAGCTGACACGGAGGTGGTGGAAGACTCCTTGAGGCAGCGCAAAAGTGTGCCTGCTGATAAGGGGCCGTAGGTTTAATGACATTGTTCCCAAGAATACTGACCAAAAGAATATGTCACCTTCCCTCTGGTCTGCAGTTTAATCCAAACACTTAATTTTTCCTGAATGAACAAGCTTCTCTCTTAAAAGATGATCTCTAGTCATGTGGTCTTATGTGTACTAAGGAGAATCTTTCAGGTATGACAATCAGGATATAGAAGAACTGGGATGGGAACAAGTTCATTGACTTAGGGCTAGAGAGTCTTGACCAGAGGAAGCAACCCCTAGCCCTCATTAGCACCTTCCAGAGATAAGGCTGCAGGCCCCATAAAATGAAAGCAAAGCAGCCTTGACTCCTGTGTGTCCTAAAAGTGTAGTAAAAGTCTTGCTTCCTTTTCTTAGGTTAAGTATTTATTTTGTCAAATTACAAGAAATATCAGGCACCACAGTGCATGGACACATTTTTAGAGATAGAAATTGAGAGGACCCTGGACATATAAAAGAACTCAGAAGTCACTCCAACCCTCTCCTTTGTTATGTTTTCTTTATTACGTTTAGTTTTTCCATTTTTTCCACCATGGCCTTGTAGGCTCCTTGAACTCTTCACAATTATTCCTTGGTGAGAGGACTTGGATGGAAGCCAGCTTTATATCAACCGTGTTTATTTTGTTTATTCTGACTTAAGGGTTTAGATAATCAGTGCCCACAATCCATGAAGCCGTGACTGCCAAACATCTTGAATGAGAGATTCAAAGGAAGTAGGGATTTTACAGGACAGATTTTTTTGGCCAAAATGTGGATTTTTTTTTTTTAGTTTCTTTAGCAATACTCTTTTGAAGCCAGAAGTCCGCTAAGTCTTGCCCAGTACAAGGTAGTCTTGTGAAGAAAACTTGAATACTGTGTTGTTTTGTTTCCATCTCAAGGGGTTCTCTGGCTCTTGAACTACTTTAATAATAACTGAAAAACCATTTCTGGTTTTCCTTCAGTGATGTGCTTTTGATGAAAGAATTAATGAAAGTCAATATCTGGAAATGAAAGATTTGATTTTGTTTCCATCTTCTGTAATTTTTTAAAGAATTATATCTTTGTAAATCTCTCAATACTCAATCTACTATAAGTACCCAGGGAGCCCAATTTCTTTTAAAAAATCCATCCATCTACTTCTCTCTTACCTGATTTATGTCTTAGAATAAATTCATGAAATTAGATTCCAAGCATATGAATGATGCCTAAAGTTGATTCTGTGCCCCCTGGGTCCAGTCAGAATAATAAGGGGTACAGGCTTATGAAATTCTAAAAGTTTCTGTCATCTTTAAAAAGGAATATGCAGTATATTTCTATTGCCTGTTTAGATAACCCTTTCCTTGTATTAACACAAACACGGAGCTCACTGGTGGGGGAGGTTCTGAAACCTGTGCCCTCCTATGGTTGACTGAGGCTGTTGCAAGCCTTGCACAAAGGAGGTTATTCTTCTGACTGAATCAGTTTTTAGAGACGGTTATTTTTCACCTTTCCAACTCCAACTTGACAGTCTCTTTCCTTGGTATGAAGTTTGTTAAGAGTCACCGATAATCATGCTCTTCAGACAGCATTGCAGCCTCAGAGTTGAGGCCATCACAGAAATGATGAACAGGGAGAACCTAGTTGCCAGTACAAGGTAGTCTTCTGAAGGATTCTTGAATACTGTGTTGTTTTGTTTCCATTTCAAGGGGTTTCCTGGCTCTTGAACCACTTTAATAATAACTGAAAAACTATTTCTGGTTTTCCCTGTGCTCATTTTCCATCCACTCCTGCCATGTTGGTCTCTGACACAGCCTTACCCAAATGCCATGATTCTGATAGTGGCAGTTCCCTCTCCCTGATACCAGGAAGCTTTTCTGGGTCAGAGGTGAGCTGGGTCTGCCCTCATGTCGCTGGATTTCTTTTTCTTATAATCAACTGAAACAAAGTTTTTAAAGAACAGTATGTTCAAGTTCAGAGGTATGAAATAAGAAAGGTTTCATAAATTGGCTTTTCTGTATAATGCTTCCTCCCTTTAGTGGTGTGTTGGCGAAAGGGTAAGGAATGCAGACATAACATCTGCCTTGGCTTTTATCAATGTAAGGCCAATTTCTAACTGGACCCCAAATAGTATTGTTTGAGTATTCCCTAATGTGAAATTCCAAATGTAGCAATATCTGGAAATTTTTGAGCACCAACATGATACCACAAGTGGCAAATTTCACACCTGACCTCATGTGATGGGTCATAGTAATACTTTTTGAGCACCAACATGATACCACAAGTGGCAAATTTCACACCTGACCTCATGTGATGGGTCATAGTAAAAACACAGTCAAATTTGTTTCCGGCCATTGCCTTACCAGACTCTGGTGTGACTGTGTGCTCTTTGAGCTATGGCTGTTACCATATTTCCTGGCTTTGGCCCCCTTCTCTACCTTGGGGAGGTGAATCTCCTTTCTCTCTCTCTAATTTACCTTCTAAATAAACTATATTTTCCAATCTAAAAAAAAAACAAAACTTTGTTTCCTCACAAGATTATTAAAAATCTTGTGTAAAATTACATTTGGGCTATGTCTATAATGTGTATGTGACACATAAATGAATTTTGTGTTTATACTTGGGTCTCATCCTGGATATCTCATATATGCAAATTATCCAAAATATGAAAAAATTTGAAATACTTCTGATCCCACACATTTTGGATAGGGGTACATGACCTACATCTATTTATGTAATATTAAAAATGTATTTTCTTTTTCAACAATACTTGAAAAAAAATGAAGGGTGAGGGGAAAGACATCTTGGATAAGACGACTCAATAAAAGTTTCAGTAACTGTTTCAGGAGCCTTTTTTCCTGATTTTCCCCTTTTTAACATCTTGACTTTTTTTTTCCTAATTTGCCTGATAAGTAATTTATTTGCTTAATTTAATTTATTTCCACTTGAAGCTTGTAGGTTTATTTTTAATACTTAATGTATAAAGCTAAAGTGGAAGTGTCAACCTAAAATAATTTAAACTTAAAATTAGATCACTCTTTCAATAAGACTTTGTGGATTTTTCCTGTAGATAATATATTTAGTCCAGAAGTCAAGTGCATGGAAACTTGATTTTGATTTAAAAAAAAATCATGCTCCCCTCTATTGCAATATCAGTTACTGAATTACAGAATGGCATTTTGTGTAAATAGTATTAGGTGAATGAAATGACAGTAACTAGATTTTGGAATGGGTAAACACAGTGCTTTATGTGTGGGTGGTTGGAACAGAGTGCGTTTTCATTGGTTAGAAGGAAAGTTTGAAACTTCTGATTACCTTTTTCCTGGTTTCTTGTATTATGCTTCTCTTGCTGGAACTGCTAAACCAGAACAACTTGCTTAGGAGATCTCATATTGAAGCAACACATGGGCCATCTCACTTCTTCCTTTCCTTTTGAAGCATAATCACTGGATGGGGTAAGGGGCCGGCCAGCTGAGTTCACAGGGCCTTGCACTGCATGGGCACGTATGTACAAAATCAGCTTGTGTATAGAGTCCCTGTCTGTTGCTCACAGACCTCTTTAACTACATACATTCAATTCAAAATAACTACTCTAGTAAAAAGTAAGCTTTGGTTGGATTGGCTTTTGACAATGGAGAAAGCCAAGTTTTGACTTTTTATGGTCAAAACCCTTTGTTAATAGCTATGAGATTGCACCATAACTTGGGTATAAGTAAGTCTGTGGAACTTACATCCTATGACACCTTTGGGGTAGATGATAAAAATGATTTTTAAGGTAAGTTATCACCATGTGACTTTTTATTACCAAGCCATTCAGTAGTGGAGCTGGTATGTTGTTTTACATAATGGAAACATTCTGTAAAACTCTTCTGTAAAAGAGTTCAGAGAAAGATTAAAAAGTGAAAATATATGGTAAACCTGAGATCAGTATAAAGTCTTTAGTGTGAACTAAGAGAAAGAAGGAGGAGACTGATGATTTTGCTACTGTGTATCAATAGGTTATTTATACCCATCTTCTCAGTGTTGCAGTGTTATTTCTGCCAGTATTATAACTATGTGCTTGACCTATCCTGTCAAATATACCAACATTTTGGAAAGTATTCATGTAAATCTCTTGTGCCAACAGAAAAGTTCCTCATGTAATTTTTCTTTACCTCAGTCTTTTGATCCTATGGAGAAGATTATAGCTTGTCTTGAAAAAGCCAAATGTGGAGTCATCAAGTCTTCTCCTGATGGAGCAGGGTCAAGAACCCTGATAGGGCAGCTTAACTGAGAAGTTTTCCCGAAGCAGAAGATTCAAGTGAAAGGCCTTTGATAGCTCAACTTGGGCTATGACCTTCAGATGGCTTTTTCTCAGTGAAGTTTTATGTATACTGTGATGCTGCATATGGGTGACTCATACAATTTTGATATGTTTCTGAAATAATTTAATCATATTTGTTATTAGCTTCCTTGTGGAAATGGAAATTTTATACTAAAATACTGCTTATTTATATAGCAATACATTATAAAGTTGTTATTTATATTCTTTGTCATAGTCTTGTTTAGCCCAGTGTACTTATTTTTCTCTTCCTGTATCCTTTGCTTCCTTAAATAACATCTGTCTGCAGCAACTGGAATCAGAAATCAAGATATGTGTTTCAAATAGTACATTGCCTGAATCACAAATCAGTGATTACAGTATTGTACATTATCCTTGATTCTGTATGTTTTCATTTTATTGTAAATTTACATTTGCAGCAAATTCTAATGATAGTGATGAATAAGTAAAAACAAATGGTGTATTGCTTTTCATATAAGTATTTTCACAAAAGCCATTTGCCTAGGCAATGAAAAATATGACCTTGTTAAAAAAAAAAAAACAGTTTTCCTCTGTACCCATCCTCCATCCAGTCTGTTTGTTCTCTCTCCCCGCCTTCTCCCCCACTGAATTGGTGAAATTCAAACCATGGGCCCATTAGCTGCTCAGAAACATACACAAAACCAAGGACAAGTTCAAGGATCCAAGTCCCCTCCTTCTCACAGCCCATTGTGTTGTCTGAAGAGTCTCATTGTACTTACCTCTTGGGTCTCCCTCTGTCCTGAGATCTGGGGGTGGTCAGATGACAAGGGATGCTGCTAATCCTCCACAACGCTGTAGACTAACCTTGTCTAGGGCTTGCAGAAAACTCCATTCTACATCTAACCCTCTGCCACTGTAGCAATGGAAAAGCATAAAGGCGGTGAGGCGGCTCCTTTAAACACCCTCAAAGAAGAAAATAATGGATATTGGACTTTTTCCTTTGGAATGTGGTGGGGAAATGTGTAGTAAGAAGACAGTTATTAATCATGCATGTCACCAAGTCCCTCCCTCAAGAACACTAACTTAGTAAATTTATTTGCCCATACAGAGAGAGATGTCTGTTATGCTGGGTCTGCCTACGTGACCTTGGCTATTCATTTTTGGTGGTGGGAAAACCTGCAGCTTTGAAGCCAACAACACTGAATTACAAAATTCAACCCCCTGCTTTGCTCTAATCTTGAAAATTCTTTGGAATATTTTTCATAGTAATGGGAATTCTTTTTTAGAACGCAAACTTCTTGAGACTGATAACTGTATTAGGCTGCTCCAGGCTGTGCTAATAGACCCCTAAACATCAGGAGTTTTAAGAATAAGAATTTTATTGTTTCACATAGATTAGGTCATGCATCCCATGTAGCAGTGACTCTGGTTGATGCAAGTTTTTTTCTGGGCTTCAGGTCAAGGGAGGCTTTCTGGTCCAACATGTGGCATCTAAGGTGGACGTGATCATTTCCATCCCATTTGGAAGGAGTAAGAGTATGGAGGCAAATTTCTGAGAGATTTTAAAGCTAGGCTGCTAAGGGGCGCACACGCATCACTTGTGTTCACATTTCTGATGACAGGATTTAGTCACAGGGTCATACTTAACTGAAAGGAAAACTATGTTACATAATCTTGCTTTGTGCTTAAGAGTAAAGGGAACTTTGAGAGCAAGCAGTCTCTGCTACAACGGCTTTATCTTACCTACTTGTGAATTTGTCTCTGTTCAAGAGTAAGCTTGTGAGAAATAGTAGTATGAATGTACACACGGCAAAGGGGAAATAATATATATTGTTCTAACGCTGTTTGTCCTTCCAGATTTTTGCATTATTGAACTTCAGGATACCACAGTTTTCCAACTGCAAGTGTTGTGTGATTACATGGAGTTTATATTTTATTTGGGAAGATGGCCATTAACAAGCAAAAGATTACAATTGGCAAAGTTAAGAAATGCTTTGTGAGTTTACAAA